CGAACAGAACATGGGAACACTGAATGTTTTAAAATTAAGAAAGGTGTGTGACAAGGTTGTATTCTTTTACCATACTTATTCAACCTGTATGCTGAGCAAATAATCTGAGAAGCTGGGTTCTGTGAAGAAAAACGTGGCATCAGGATTGGAGGAAGACTCATTAACAACCTGTGATATGCAGATGATACAACCTTGCTTGCTGAAAGTGAAGAAAGAGGACTTCAAACATTTACTGATGAAGATCAAAGAGCACAGCCGACTCATGGCACCTAACAACAACAACAACAACAACTCTGTAGTAGCGGACCAGTGCTTATCCTACAGTGCCACACCAAAACACTTTTGAGCTGCCATCTAAGACACAACTAGGGGTCTCGACTTGCCAGGAGAAAAACAGTAAAAAAGGAACCAAAAGTCCAGAGAAGTAACAAGTGTGCAAGGGTCACAAACGACCCTAATACCAGGAGAATTCGATTGTGCCCAGCTACCGCCACTGACTGCCTGACAGGCACCACAATGGTTGCTCCCAGATAGAAAAGGGGGAAAATATGGAGAACTCAAATTCTTATTTGAAGCAATAAAAAGCCATAGAAACTAGGACAGTGGAGAGAAATGGAACCCCAGAAGCTATCACTGAGAACCTCTTTAAACAGAGCTGAGCCTATTCCCAGCATCATCTTTGGATATTGCCCACAAAATCCATTCCCTACTTGAAAGCCAGCTGTGTGAGACCAAAAGGTCAATGATTTCTCCGAAGTAAAGACCGTGAAGACAAGGGATCAGGGAAACTAGAGTCCTGGGAAGGGAACAAACAGAAGGCATTTAAAGCCCCACCAAACTCCAAGTCCACTGCATTCTACATGTTAAGTTCCCCAGGCCTCCACAGCCCCCAGGGTCCCACATTGCGATCTATGCAACTAATATCACCAAACAGTCTGTGGTGAGACTATCAGATAGAAACCTAACTTGCTGTGTAAGAGTCCATCAAAAATTCAATAAAAGAAATATTTTTAATGAATGAAATGACAAGATATTTATAAGTGTTTGTTTTTAAAACTTTTGATTGTGATTTGCATGAAAGTCTACAGAGTTAGTCAGTTTCCTTTAACAATTTCATACACATTTTGTTTCCTGCCACTAAATGCAGTCCTCACAATGGAAAGCATTCATCCCATCTCTCTGTATTTCCAGTTTTCCTTTGTCCTTCTTTCCTAAGCTTTCCTGCCTTCTGAACTTTTGTCTTTGGGTGAATGTTGCTTTTTTGATCTTGAATGGTTGATTGTTCTAATGAATGTGTGTTGGAGACCACTAAGGCCAGACGCAGGAAGAAGGGAGTCACGTCTGGGCCATGGCATAAGGAAGCAGAGAGCTGTCCCTTAATGCTAGTGCCATGACAGAAAGCCAGATTGGTACGCGATGACCAGATGTGATAACCGGCAGCCTGCATTGCTCTCTTTGGAAACTCACTCATGCATCCCTGAATTATAGTCTTGGTTTTCTCTCCCCTAAGAACATTTCTTTAATCTGTATAACGTCAAAAGACCCCTTTAATGTCAGTGATGTATGGCATCCTGGGGGGATGAAAAGGCTGGCGGCTAATAAACGCAGAGTATCGTCATGTCTTGGGACTCTTGGTCCTAGAGATCATGTGTCCTGCTGGGCTCTTGATCCTAAAGGTCATGAGTCTTGTGTCTGTCCTTTAATCTCTAACTTGTGTCTGTGTTTTGTTCCTAAACTGTGTCATCTCCGATGCCCTGGTGGTGTAAACTGGACTCGCACAAGTGAGTATCTTCCTGATGTTATTATTCACCTTACAGACTAGAAGTCTGCTGCACAGGAACTTTTTAAAGTGTTGAAGAGCAGAGATGTCAGCTTGAGGACTAGGGTGCGCCTGACCCAAGCCATGGTGTTTTCAATAGCCTCATATGGATGCGAAAGCTGGACAGTGAATAAGGAGGATCGTAGAAGAATTGATGCCTTTGAGTTGTGGTGTTGGAGG